ATAAAGTTTGGTTGAGAAAAAGCTTTTATTTTAATAATTGGACTTATGATTAAATGCATGTCTCATTCCCTCCCTATATTAAATTCATATTATATAGTTTTATTTTATTTAAATTTTGTTTTAATATTTCAACTTTCATGTTTATATTTACCAAAACCAACATACCTCAGCAATAATTGGCATATACCTCAAATCAAGAGGTTGTAAGTTCGATCATCCACCCCCACATGTTGTACTAAAAAAACTTTCATATTTATATTTGTTTTGCTTTGTTTTGGTCCTAGTTTTAAAGTTTTATATGGAAGTCTTATTTTAGTATCTAGAACTTGAGATTTTTTGTTTGAGGTAATTTCAATTAATTTTAGCATATTTCACATGAAAATTGCAAAATACCACATTAAATGAAATAATTGCGGATCTAAATATCATGTGTTTTTAGTATAATATGTGGGAATTGATGATCAACTAACCTCTTGGTTTGAGATATATGTCAATTGCCGCTGTGTTATGTTTGTTAAATAATATACTAAGATGCACAAAATATATAAAAGCAGTTACAAATATAACAACATCTAGATTATTGTTGKTATATTAAGATTATTGTTGATCAACATCTAGATTTTTTTAATAGAACATGTGGGGTGGGGTGGTGGAGGATCGAACTCACAACCTCTCGGTTGGTTGGAGATATATGTCAATTATGGCCGAGCTATGCTCGCTTTAACATCAATATCTAGATTGAAATATCTAGCTAGATTGATAACGGATTACTATTAATTGAGTTAACCATTGATTTAGTAGTAATTATAAAATTGCTATATTTGCAATTATTTTTTAAAGATGAAATTTACAGTGAGTTTTAGAAAACCACATGTGCAAATGATATTTCCAAATATTACCCATTAACTTTTTGTTTTTTGGTTTTTATTTTTAGAAATCTACTTATTTATTAGCAATTTTCTTTATTGGTAACTTTTAAATAATAGCATTTTCAAAAGTAATTTTTTCTAGCCGTCCCAAGTTCAAATTTTCCATCTTTTGTTAAACAAATTTTCATAATTTTTTTTTTTGGAAAATGAAGAGTTTACATAATCTTAACTTTTACTAAATTACCATAACAAACAAGGCATTAAATTTTCTATATAATACAATATAAAAAGTTAACAAATAGACCAAATCAAACTTTATAAACTAAAGCCAAATAAGTATGAAAGTGAGCATACAACAAAGAATTTATCAACCAATTCATTTCCTTTATATTATATTATATTATATTATATATTGCAAACTCTAGGAGTGACGTTGACATTTTTAGGGCTTAGAGAGAGAAACTCAGGTGTTTGCTTTTAGCAATTGAAAAGAGAGATGAATTGCATAAAAGGAAGAATGAATGATTTGATTGTATTATAAGCAAATTTTAATGCTTCATTCCCAAGAAAAATTGATCAACAAACTCCAGAAGATTTTATTTGTTTAAATGATTTTTATTTAATGAAATAATAAAATAATGCATATAAATATGTTTGTTTTTTCTTTATATATAAAGATAGCATATTGTGTGATTTTTCAACACATATATCTTGGTGTTGCTTTCTAAATATTTTAAGTGCATTCTTGTAACACTTAACATTCCTAATATATACTTTGGTTGTCTTTTAGAAATTAATCGTAGGTTAAGTGTTTTCGTGGTAGAAAAATTTAAACACGTAAGAATTACTAATTTTTAATTAATCCTAGCTCCTTTAGACTAATGGACAACGGTCTTGACCAGTTGAGTTGTGTTCGGATTGACAAGTCAACTTAATTAGCTTTTATAAATAAAAATTAAAAATATGATCATTAGTAAGAAACATGTTAATGTTATGGATTAAAATCCATAAGAAACAAATACGAAGATAGATAAAATTAATGAAAAAATAATAAAAATTTGCTATTAGTTTCAACATAGTGGAGAAGAATATTGGGAAATAAAGATTCTTTCAACCTCATGCCTTTTCTAAAAGTGCTTAAAATTTTCCTTTTGGGGTCCAATCACCCCTCCACAAAAATTAACAATGGCAAAGTTGTTGAGGAGAAAATTATTGAGATTTATTAAACAATATTAAGGCTATTTTTTTTGGGTTAAAATGAACCTAATTCAACGGTAATTGACATAAATCTCCAACTAAGAGGTTGTGAGTTCGATCCCCACCCCCACATACGATCTCGATTCAGAGAGAAAATGCACATTTGTATTATTTTGAGTCTCAAATTGGTTTGATCTTTTCCAATTATCCTAGTCGGGCGAACTAAGTCCGCCCTCTTTTGATTGTTGGGCCCCACCTATGGAGTTTCTTTGTTCTCACTTGCTCTCTTTTGAAGGCCCTTTATATTCTCTTTCTTAGCCAAAGAAAGACGGGACGGGACGGACGGTCAGAGGCCGCAGCGGGACAACAATCCACGTTCCGGTAGTGTGGTCAGACATCCCATGTTGATATGGACGATTGGTAAATTACCTCTACCGATAAAGTTATGTTTATGTCAGCTACTATCACCATATGTCATTAAATTAAGAGGATCATGAGAGTGAATTTAAAAAAGATTATTCTTTTATAAGATTGTGATTATTAGTATATTAACATTTCAAATAAATCTACTATCCATTCCAACAATACATTTTAGAGTAAGTTAATGGTCAATGTTTTTTATTTTATAGGAGGGTTTGTCTATTTTATCAAATTAATAGGATATTATTTCTATTTTCTTCTCAATTAATAAAATGTGTTTAATGTTGCATCATCATTTTGTCAACAAATTTTAACGTCTTGTAATGAAAAAAATTTAATTGAAAAATTTATCGAAAAACAAAAATATATCTTTAGCATAATATTAAAATACTATCAATACAAAGTTGTTTGAATGGTTGTGTGGTGTGATATTTCAACTGACAAAGTTTAATTAATTTTTTATTTTTTCCAAGTTCAAACCTTCTCATTTCAACTTACGATTTAGAAAATATTTAAAGCATTGAATTAATTTAATTTACTTATATTATATTAATCCTTGGTATCAATCCCTTTTGAAATTTCTACAAAATATTAAAAAACCTAGGAGATAACAACTCATTAATATCACCAATTTGAACACACCATATCTCCGACTAAAAGGTCGTAATTTTTTTAGTACAACATGTGAGAGTGAAGGATCAAACTCACAATCTTAAGAAGAAAAGGGTCGTGAATTTGAATTCACTCTTACATATTGTACTAAAAAAAAGTCCCGTCTAGTACACTACTATTTATGTCCCAAAAAATATTAAACTTTGACCTGATAATATTAATCACGATTGATATTGTAAAGTAACCCACAAATAGATATAATAATACAATAAGTTCATCGTTATTTTAGATAACAACAAAGGAATCTTGAAAGAAGAAAACAAAAAATCCATTTTTTCTTTAGTTGAAAGCAAACACAATATGTGACAATGATTATATAATTAATTTAATGGTGCATTATACTTTTGGGATATATATTAGTTTAAAATAAGCTCTAATTGTCATTTATTGGTTGCTTGAAGTTACATAACACCAACTCTTTGTTTACATAATATAATAATAATTAAACCTAAGACATGACATCATCAAGCTAAGTTAACCAAAATGAACTCATTATTGAGGTTTGTTTTGTTTTCTCCTTCTTTGAGTTCAACCGTGATAGGGCGGGATTCAACCATCAATCTTGAACCATAGTAATATATATGTTATCCATCTAGACTCGGATTCATAATTCATTAGTGAGCGTTATTGACTATTGAATGTGTCTACTAAAAGATTACAGTTTAGAAATAGTTTGTGTTTGATTTCATTTTAGTCCCTATGATTTAGACAAGCTGCTCCTTATCTTCTTTGGTGATACAACCATTTTTTTAAATTTAATTCATATGATTTTAGATTAATTTCATTTAAGTCCCTAAACATTATAAAGTTTCAATTTAGTTACAATTTGGTTAAATTCCACAAACTGTTCTCAGACTGTTTTTAACCACATCAAAAAAGACAAAATTGAAAATGAGACATATTATATGAATTAGGCTAAAAAAATACATTTGGTCTCAAAGAACTCCCGTGAAAGTAACGATTTAGTCCCTGGACTTTCAAAATAACAATTTACTCAATGTACTTTTGAATTGATAACAATTTAGTCCCTACCATTAAAAATTGGGTTAGATTTAACACAAATACGAAGTGGCATATCGATGTGTATAAGTAATGTCCAAGTGTGCAATTGGTTCAATTTTGAGTTAGTTCAAATTTGAACCGGTTTAAGATTAAAAAAAATCATAGGGACAAAATGACACTAAAGTCAAAACAATTTAATGATTATTAAGTTTATTAATCACAAAAATAAGTTAGATAGAGATGTATTTCGTTACATAGAATATTAATGGTATCAAGATGTTGATTATTCCTAACATGAAAATTAGAGAAAATGACAAACAAAAAGTAGGTTGGTTTTGTGGCATATACTTTAGTTACAACATAATTCAATATTCAAGACAACATATATAATATGCAGTCCAAATTATAAATATATGCCTTTGATTTATTATTTCATACAAACAAAAGGATCTCATGTTGGTCAATTATAATTAATAATTGCAAAG